GGGAATCCGACCTTGATCTATTCCGTCGACACATCCTCTTGTACTGGTCCCGGGAGGCCTGCCAAAGCAAGCAGGGTAACCGTACATATCGAGTGGCTCGGACTCGCGCGGCACAGCGGGAGCTAGCCCGGAATCGTGGAGAACGCTATTTGCCTCCTGGGGCTGATCTTGTGCTTAATGCGACTTGGCTTCGCCGTTTCGGCACTTCGCCTATCCCTGTTGGCGCGCGGCTGTGGTACAAGGCCCGTGATGGATTGTGGTGGACCGGACGCACTGGTGCTCATCAGGGCGGCTCGTACATCGTTCGATTCTTGGATGATCGTTCGATTTTTGGATGAACCAGGCCCAAGCGTTCTGCCTCTGCCTGCGCATCTCTACTCCACCGCCTTGGACGCCGTCTGTGGATCATGGTGTTTAGAGAAACATCGTTCGCGCCCTCTGGGCGACAACCAACCGTGGTCGCACTCCGCTCCTTGCTGACTCCTTACCGTCGGCTGTTTCCGCCGTTTCTTCTTAGCGTCGTCCTTTTCATATACCAATCGGCCTATTTTGGTCTTTTGTGCCATCCTTCTCGCCGACGTTTTGCTTTTGTGTTTTTTTTGTTTTCTGTCACCTTCCGTTTTGTTTTATTTTGTTTTGCTTCTTTTTGTCTTGTCTCTTATATCTCGTTGGCTTATTTTGTTTCGGACGCTGGGGCAACGCCGCCTCAAGACACACAGTGTCGAGTGATCCTTCTTCGTTGTTGCCTGCATGGATCTGAATCAGTGAACTACCGAGACCTGGATGTCCGTTCTCTCTCGCCTTTGCTTCAATTTTTATGTTGTTGGTCTTTGGTTCCCTCAACAAGGTCCCTCCGAAGTTTCGTCTGTGTTGTCTGCCTCTGAACACTTGGAAAAATAGTTCCCCAAGTTTCGTCGGTGATGATTCCCTCGGGACACTTGACACCAAGTTCCCCACGTTTCCTGGTTCGCCTGTTTGCCAACTAATTTTGTCTTCAATGTTTTTTGTTTTAGTTCCATCGTACCACAGAAGTGTCGCATACGCTTGGTGCTCCGGGATTCCATCCCGTGGCGTCGCCTTCTCCCATGGATTTCGTCGTCACCCACACTTCGTTCTGCTTCGTCTTCATTATCGCCACCTTTGGGCGACGCCTTCATCACAGTACCGCCCCCTGAGTCGTTGTCTTGTTGTGTGAATCTCTACGACTTTCTGTGTTTTATGTCTTTGAATGATGCGTATCGCCAGCGAGCTATGGCACAGTTCGTCGACCGCCTCTCTTGCATTACTCGCTTGTGCTTTGCATCCTTGGTCCTCAATAGGTCTTGCCCCTGCCGTCTCCTTATACGAGTTGGGTACCCTGGCACGCTGGCCATCGTTCTCCGTGCCTTTGCCTGTCATCCTTTTCTCCTGCCCTTCGTTAACGTCCTAGATTGCGTTGAGTTTTCCCTGTCGTCGTCTGTTCAGGATGATAGCGTGCTCTGCCGCAATATATATTCTTCGTAGCTTTATCCCTTCAAGCGTTTGTTTGTCATTGAGATGTCGACGTTCCGTCTCGTGACCGTTCACNTGGGCGACGCCTTCATCACAGTACCGCCCCCTGAGTCGTTGTCTTGTTGTGTGAATCTCTACGACTTTCTGTGTTTTATGTCTTTGAATGATGCGTATCGCCAGCGAGCTATGGCACAGTTCGTCGACCGCCTCTCTTGCATTACTCGCTTGTGCTTTGCATCCTTGGTCCTCAATAGGTCTTGCCCCTGCCGTCTCCTTATACGAGTTGGGTACCCTGGCACGCTGGCCATCGTTCTCCGTGCCTTTGCCTGTCATCCTTTTCTCCTGCCCTTCGTTAACGTCCTAGATTGCGTTGAGTTTTCCCTGTCGTCGTCTGTTCAGGATGATAGCGTGCTCTGCCGCAATATATATTCTTCGTAGCTTTATCCCTTCAAGCGTTTGTTTGTCATTGAGATGTCGACGTTCCGTCTCGTGACCGTTCACATTCTTCATCTCAATGATGGTGTGGGGGATTGATTCGGGATATTTCTACAACTTACCCTCCTTTTGGATGTTTTGTGAAGAGTCATATCTTCGATTCATGATCATAAATCATCAGCTAAAATCTCAATTATGCTTTAGACTAGGACTTTTTTGAGCATTGATTTGAGTATAGAATCTGCATATATGATATTCAGGGTGGGCTAGTGTCAAGGAGTGTGTCTGCTAGCATGAAAAAGGTACATCTTATTCTTGATAGGATGCGGGTCGGTCAGGAGGTATACCCTTCTGACCCCTACCCCCTTAGAATTGTCTACTCTGTGTACCCCCTGAGATGAAGTTGGATCCCCACTTCATCCCAGACCTTTGCTGATCGTCTCTCGGCACTAATAAGCAACTTTCCCATCTCAACGTGGTCGTGGTCAAGCGTGTCACAACGGCAGAACCTTCATCTATCTCTAGGAGCAAGCCACCGCTCACGGCATCACTCCTTGAAACATGTTAGCTTTTTCCTCGCGAGTTCAGCATATAGTTGTCGTTTGGCCTTTTCCTTTCGCCTCTTCGCGCCTCTTCCTTGGATCACCTTAATTCAATTCTTGAAAGCAAGCCGACGAATGAATATGAATATCGTCGGCGTTGCTAGTCCCAAGCTGACTTTGTTTTCTCGCTCATTGTTTCAGGCTTGAGAATGGAAGCAGGGACGGACTCCTCATGTATGCATGCTTCAGGCAGTGGCATTTCATTAGCGCGACAAATGGAAAGTCTACAATGTACCGAGCCAAAAGATGTTTGAAAACGGCCTAATAGTACGCACCAGAAAATGTTTTTGTGTTTTGCAACGGCAACCCATGAACCTGCTCAGCGTTCGAGCGGTTTCGATGCCCGAGAGTGTCTGTTGTATGGCAGCCCAGCGGTTGATGCACGATTGCATGTGGAATCTACTCTTGTGGTTGTGAAACGAGTACATCATCGTTGGTGGATAGAATATGGCGACGGCCGCCGCATCTCCATAATTTTTGCAAACCTCCACCTCGAGGCAAACGTGTTGTGGTAGCATTTGCTCCCTTTCTGCAAGTATCAATGGTACTCCAGTCGCCTTGCCCCGCGACACACCCATCCAAATCGCATCCATTCAAGGACCTTGCAACAAGCACGCACCTTGTTGTGGACTCAAGCATGGCTTCTACTTATTATCCTACCAGCGTATGAAGAATTCAATAGTACACGCATTAAAGACGTCTGGTGCATGCCCTCATTCGCAATTGTACGCAAAACAAATCGCGAGGCGGCGTCGACATGATGATGTAGTCCATGCTTGGCTTGGTCAACAGGCGTTAGCCTGTATTCAGGAACGAAAAAGTCAAACAACGGGACCGAAAAGGAAAACGAATATGCATGACGCAAAAAATAAGTAAACGGATTGGTTGCACCAAGCAAGAAGAATCGTAGATAAATACCGGAATATCCTTTGAAAACGCCTCCCGTGGGTAGCTCAAACGTAGAGAGAGGGGCGTTTTTTTTTCATCTATAAAAAAAAAACGGGGGGAAAGGCCCCGGGGGGGGCGTTGTCTCTTTCCTGCTCTTATGTACTGCTGTACAACACAACACAGCGCTGACGCGTTGACCCGGACGATGTCGGGACTCAACAGCATCCATGAATGAGAAGCATACCAAACGCACAGAAGGGTGGTTGGGGCAACTGGCACACGAGAATGCTGCCACGAGGGAATGCCGCCCGTC